GGGGTTAGTTCCTAGTCTTACTAATGTTCTGTTTAGAAAATTCTCTTCTATCCTAATGTCTTGAAGAGCATTCCCTGTGTTTTCTTTTAGAAGATTAAATTCTGAGTTGATTTTTGTGCGATGTAAAAGACATGGATTTAATTTTATTCTTTTGACCCAGTTTTGTCAACACCATTTGTTGAATGGATTGTTTTTTCCCCCAGCATATATTTTTGCTCCATTTGTCAAAAATTAAGTAGGCATGGTCTTGTCATTTTATTTCTGGGATCTTTATTCTAGTCCATTGATTTCCTGTCTATTTTTATCCCAGTACCAGATGATGCTATTGCTGTGCTTTTGAAGTATAATGTGACTTTGGGTATTATAATACCTGCAACAGTGTTAGTACTCTTTAGCATTATTTTAGATATTCATTGTATTTTACAGTTCCATATGAATTATTATGCTGTTTTTCTAAATCTGTGAAATATGACATTACAATTTTGATAGATAGTGCATAAATTATTTTTCATGATTTAATCATTTTACTATATTTATTGAGCTGTGTTCTATTTAACAAATGTCCATGCCAGAACTTTTATCAAGAAGTCATGTCAAAAACATTTCATTATCAATTGGAATGGTTATATAGGTCTTGTCCTTAAGTCTACTTATGTAGTGGTTTACATTTATTTAATTATGTTTATTGAGCCTGAAAGATCCCCGGAGGGTATCTTCCGTCAGAGAGACCCCCTCCCAAAGAACAACGAGTCCATTCGGATGCAAACAGCAAGAGGCTTTTATTTTGATACACGAGTACTCGGGGCAGCAAGGTCACTCGGGAGGACCCTGCGCGCCTCCTTGGGGAAAAACTGGGGTTTTTATAGGGTTTTAGAGCAGAAGCACTGGTACAGAAGCGAGAAGGCATGGTTACAGGGGGCTGATTGGTACGTTTACACGAGACCACAATTTGCGTCAAAGTTTGGCAGGGGCACCAAGATTCTAGGAACTGGGTGGTCAAGGGGGGTAGGATGACGCCTTGACGTGGCCCGCCACCTGTTATTTTGTTTTTCCCTATCTTAGCTGAAACAGTCTCACAGATATCTATGAGAGTGATTAACACAAACTGTTTTTAGTATGACTGGGGCAGCCTGACCACAGATATCCCAAGTGGGTGACACAGCTAGGATTTCTCAGTAATTTTCCAGTTTCTCATCTGGCCTTCAGAGTTTTATAAAACAGTGGTGTCTCACAAAATGGCGTTAGCTATGTTTAACTTAGGGTGAGGCTGGGGTCTTTCAAGCCAACCTTGCCTTTCTGAGATGGTTGAAATCTTCTTAATGTGCAAGTACTTTGTCGAGGATTTTTGCACTTATGACTGTAGGCTTAGAGTTGTCACCGTTTGGTTTCTAGGTTTCTACTGCATTTAGGGTTCTTAAGTACTTTTATTTCCCTTCCAACTTCCTCCCTCCTTCCCCACAACCTTAGGTAGGAGATTAGTAGTGAAAAGGGCTGTAGACCTCTTTTATCTACTTTGTGCTGATAAGGGTAGATGGGTCTTTAGGAGATTACCAGACTCAGTCATCAGGATACCAGCAGTCTAGTCCAAAGGCCAACACGAAGCAGCTACATGAAGTCAGTGAAAGCTGCAAAACTCAGTTGGATTGCCCTGAGAAGCTCTCTGAAATGTTTCTCTCTGCAAAGTCAAGTGTCAAAGCAAAAAGATAAGCACAGTGACATCAATCCAAAAAGCATTGTCTTGCTGTCTATGGGCCTCTCTCTATGAATCTCCTCTCCTCAGGGTCCACCCAGGGATGTCCTCAGCTGGCCAAAGTCACTCCCCTTGAATGTGAGAGCTCACAGCAAAACATCACGTGCCCAGCTTGCAGCAAAACATCACATGACAAACTCAGTCTTCAAAGAAACAAGAAACTTCCACTTCATATGTCCATCAAATAAATTAATCTGTAGTATGGTTTTTGTATCAGAATAATATTGACTTCATAGAATGAATTTGGTGGTAGACTTTCATTTTCTATTTCATGGAACAAGTTAAAAAGAATGGCATGAGGTCTTTGAAAATTTGATAGGCTTCAGCAGTGTATCTGTCTGGTCTTGGGCTTTTCTTTGATAGGTTTTTGATTGTGATCTCATGTCTTGTATTGGGTCTGATGGATGATATGCATTCAGAAATACTATTTCTTCTGTGTTATCCAGCTTTTCTGAGTATAGTTTTTCAAAGCAATCCCTAAAGATTTCTTTGGGGTCAGCTGTAATCTGATCTCTAACCTGTTCTCTAATTTTACTATTTTGTGCCTTTTCCCTCTTTCTTTTTGCCTAAGGATTTCTCCATTTTATTAGCTTAAAAACCCAGAAATTAAAAAAAAAACAGAACTTTTCGATTGATTTTGTGTGTTTATTTGGGTGGATTTTGAGTTATTGGGAATTAAAGCATCTTGGGACAAAAGGACAGTGTGCTGGTTAGCTTTTTTTTGGGTCGACTCAAATGTAGACATATCTTGGAAAAGGAGATCACAGGAGGAAATTGCTTCTACCCGACTGGCCTGTAGGCATCTCTGTGGGGAATATTCTTGGTTAGTGATGTGGAAGGGCCCACATCACAGAGGGTAGTGCCTCTTCTAGGCAGGTGACTGGATTCAACAAGAAAGGAAGCTGAAGGGCTGCAGAGAAGGCTGAGTGGTTAAGAGAGCATATTGCACTTCCAGAACACTTGAATTTAGTTCCAGAACTAAAAAACAGGCTGACCAAGCCCCAGGGAGTAAGAAGTAGGGACTGAACAGTTACTGCCTCTAGACTTGTACCTGGACTTTCTGTCCTAACTCTCCTTCATGGTGGACTGTAAGTTGTAATAGGAAATAAACTTTTTTCCTCAAGTTGTTTTTGGTCATAGTGCTTTGATCATAATGGCAGAAAGCAAACTAAGATAGAAATGATAGAGGAGAATTAAAGCCCATGACTTCTTTTCTTTTCTTTTTCTTTGGATGTAACATTTATTATTATTATTATTTTAAATATTTATTTATTATGTATACAATGTTCTGTTTGCATGTATACCTGCATGCCAGAAGAAGACATCAGATCTTATTGTAGAAGGTTGTGAGCCACTATGTGGTTGCTGGGAATTGAACTCAGGACCTCTGGAAGAGCAGCTAGTGCTCCTAACCTCTGAGTCATCTCTCCATCTCATTATTATTATGATTATTATCTCATTATTATTATGATTTACAATTTATTTACTTTGTATCCCGGTTGTAGCTCTCTCCCTCATCTCCTCCCGGTCCCATCCTTCCTCACTCTTCCTCACTATCCCTCTCTCTTTCCTAGTCCACTGATAGAGGAAGTTCTCCTCCCCTACTGTCTGACTCTAGCTTATCATGTCTCATCAGGACTGTCTGGATCCTCTTCCTCTGTGGACTGACTAGATCGCCCTGCCAGGGAGAAGTGATAAAAGAGCATGCAACCGAGTTCATATCAAAGACTGTCTCTTTTCCCCTTACTAGAATGCTCAGATGGAGACTGAGCTTTTTATGGACTACATCTGAGCAGGGGGTCTAGGTCCTCTCTATGCATGATCTTTGCTTGATGCATCAGTCTCTATAGTCCCCCCTGGACCCAGCTTTTTTGGCTTTGTTGGTCTCCTTGTGGAGCTCCTGTCCCTTCCAGGTTCTTTTCTATCCCTCTTTTTCCATAAGACTCCCTAAACTCTGTCCAAAGTTTGGCTGTGAGTCTGCATCTGCTTAGATCCCCTTCTGGGTAGAGTGTTTCAGAGGCCTTCTGTGGTAGGCTCCTGTCCAGTTCCCTGTTTTCTCCCTCTTCCAATGTCTATCCAGTTTACCTTTCTGAATGAGGATTGAACATCTTCCCTAGGGTCCTTCTTCTTGTTTAGCTTCTTTTTTTTTTCTTGTCTCATCTTTTTATTTTATTTATTTTATTTTTCTTTATTAATTATACTTTACTCACTTTGTATCCCCCCCCGTGGTTCCCTCCCTCCTCCTGTTCCAATCCCTCCCTTCCTCCACCCTCTGCATGCATGCCCCTCCCCAAGTCCACTGATAGGGGAGGACTTCTTTTCCTTCCTTCTGATCCTAGAAGGAGGAGAAAAGAGGGAACAAGTCAGGAGCCTGACACAGAGAACCTCTGAAAAGCTCTGCCCTGCAGACTATCAATGTAGATACTGAGACTTATGAACAACCTTTGGGCAGAGTGCAGTCAGGGAATCTTAGGAAAGAAGTGGGAAACAGTAAGATCTGGAGAGGACAGGAACTCCACAAGGAGAGCAACAGAACCAAAAAATCTGAGCACAGGGGCCTTTCCTGAGACTGATATTCCAACCAAGGACTATGCATGGAGATAGCCTAAGACCCCTGCACAGACGTAGCCCATGGCAGCTCAGTATCCAAGTGGGTTCCATTGTGGTAGGAACAGGGACTGTCTCTGACATGAACTGATTGGCCTGCTCTTTAATTACCTCTCCCTGAGGGGAAAGCAGCATTACCAGGCCACAGAAGAGGACAAAGCAGCCACTCCTGATGAGACCTAATTGACTTGCTTAGCTTCTTTAGGTGTACAGATTTTAGTATGTTTATCTTATACTATATGTCTAATATCCACTTATAAGTGAGTATATACCATGTGTATCTTCCTGCTTCTGGGATACCTCACTCAGGATGATCTTTTCTAGATCCAACCATTTGCCTGCAAGTTTCATGATTTCCTTGTTTATAATTGCTGAATAGTATTTCCTTGTGTACCACAAACATGATATCACTTGAATTTTTGATAAGAAGTAATCACCTTTGTACTCAGTGATAATGATAGCACTGGTTGCATTTTTGGTCGATATTTAAATTCAAAGATCAAAGTGGGTACGTGTTGATTCTTTGCTAACCACTAGGATAAAGAGTAACCTGAAACTTGGAACTGTGGGGTAATGCAGTGTTTCCCTTGGCTGCAAGTTCAGCCCCACCCCCTTTTCCAGTACTTAAGCACTACAGGCTGGCCTTGACTCACACACAGTTGGCCAGTGAAGGGAGCTCATCAGGCTCAGCCCTGCAAGGTGCAGCACACAAAACTGATGGCAAAACTTGGAGAGAGACTTGATTAAAGAAAGCAGCCATGGACCTGATCCTAGACTTTTCTGTGGAAACCTGGATGCTCCTGGCCACCAGCCTGGTGCTCCTCTACCTGTGAGTAAACTGCCAGGATCCTCTTCTCCGTGATCAGGACTTGAGGATGTGAATCAGACAATTCTTTCCTTTACCAGCCTGGAAAATCCAAAGAGAAAATGAAAGGGACATTGCTTGAGTGTAGGATGTGGCAAAGACCTAAGGTGTTGCAAATCCCTCCAAGGGGATAAGTAGACATTCCTCTTCTACTGAACTCCACTTTCTGTGGATAGGAGGATTGGATAGCCTAGGTTAGACTTGGATTGTCCTTTGACTGAGTCTCGGTCTTTCCCAAGATTAACCAACCAGAGCTCAGCAGAAGCACATCACAACTATCTGGTCACTGGGTTTTGTGGGAGTTCCCTTCTGCAAGGTCTCAGGCTGTGGGAACAGGAGGATCTTTGGTGCCATCTTCACCTCTGTTCTCTCTGATGCAGGAGATGCGGAAGGTAGCCCCATGCGCACATGGCTACTTCCTGCTCCCTTGTCCCACCTCTAGGACCATTTATGCATTTTTCCTGGTGTACCCCAGGCTCTATGGTTGGCTCAGATTGCTGCTTGTTTTGTTACACTCATCAGTGTTTGATATACCTGTCTGTCAGGACTTTCAAATCCCTCAGTGTGGGTGGATAAGGAAGAGGATGGGCCAGTGATGAAATAGAATACTTTCAGGTGTGAGTTAGGAGGAAGTGGAGAATATGACTCTTCTCTCAAGGGAGAACTTTCAAATACACTTGCGCGTTGTGGCTTCCACTGAAGAAAAGTAGGACAAATGATTTGCATCCAAGCAATTTCCTAAATAAAAGCAAGTGAAAGAAATGATAGCTAAGAATTCAGCCTCAATGTCACATGAACTCTCAAACTCAAGTTTCAGGACACTTATTAATGATTAACTTTAGGATTTAGAGTCCAGATATTTTATTTACCTTTGAATACAGTCGTTGTGGTCTTTGAGAGTCCCACAGTGAACTCATGAGAAGTGAAGAGCAAACGTAGTTATTGATGTTAGAGTTTTTGCTGTTACTTGTTGCCCACATGTTGCTTGAATTTTATAGTGTCTGTGTCCCTGCCTGGTGAGTCGCCACAGTATACAATGACAATCCCAATGTACTAGCAATTTCTTTCACATCACAGATGTGGAACCCATTCACATGGAACTTTTAAAAAGCTGGGGATTCCTGGGCCCAAACCTCTGCCTTTCGTGGGAACAATTCTTGGTAACAGGAAGGTAAGTGAGGGTTTTTTTCAGCTCCCTATCTTGTTTCTTGTTCCCAAGACTGGCTTTGCTCTGTAAATAAAAAGGCAAGGTATTGAGCAGAACTGAGGTAGAGTTTCAGAAACGAGGTTTGGCTTCCACATGAAGCAAGATCAATTTCCCTGAGGCTTCGCTGCTAGTCTTTGGAGAATCTGGTTAGGCACAGTTGATTAGCTCAGACCTCTAACATAGCAACATTCATGTTGAAGCCTTGCTGTTTAGACTGGTGATCCTCAAAAGGCAATGTCCTTTTATTACTCTTCCAACTTCCCCTTCTGTGGATCCTTCTACTAACATGCAGTGAATCACTTGAGACCTTTTTTTTTTATATTTGTTTATATATGCCTCATGTTTATTTCAGCAAAGAACAACCTGCTTTTGGAATTTTTATCTCCACAGTTAAAAGTCACAACTGATCTTAGCAGATGTTTTTTTTTTAAGTTTCAGAACTGAAGACTCAAAGCATCTAATTTTTAAGGTTATGTGTAGAGGAGAAAGAATTTTCCTTTTCAGTGTTCTGTGTAGAGGTGGCATCTCCCCATCTTTCCATGTTGACAGGGAAGTGTAAAGGCAAATTCTCTTTGTTACTTTTTTTTTCTAAGACAAGGTTTCTCTGTGTAGATTTGGATGTCCTTTTTGTTATTTTTTTATTACACTTTAAAAATTTTTTTATTATTAGTTACATTTTATTAACTGTATCCCAGCTATATCCTGCTCCCTCATTCCTTCCCAATTCCACCCTCCCTCCCTCATCTCCTCCCTGCCCCTTTCCAAGTTCACTGCTTGGGGAGGACCTCCTCTGCTTTCATCTGACCCTGTTTTATCAGGTATCTTCAGGACTGGCTGCAAAGTCCTCCTCTGTGGCCTAGCAGGACTGCTCCTCCCTTGGCGGGTGGGGAGGTCAAAGAGCCTGCCATTGGGTTCCTGTCAGAAATAGTCCTTGTTCCCCTTACTATGGGAAACCAATTGGTTACTGAGCTACCACGGGCTACATCTGAGCAGAGGTTCTAGGTGATATTGATATATGGTCTTTGGTGGAGTGTCAGTCTCAGAAAAGACCCCTGTGCTCAGATATAGTTGGTCCTTGTGGAGCTCCTATCCTTTCCATATCATACTAACTCCCCTTCTTTCATATGATTCTCTGAACTCTGCTGAAGGTTTGGTTATGGGTCTCAGCATCTGCTCTGATACACTGCTAGGTAGAGTCTTTCAGGGGTCCTCTGCAGTAGGCTCCTGTCCTGTTACTTGTTTTCTCATATGTCCATTGCACATCCCATTTGTCTTTCTAAGTGAGGATTTGCTGCTGTTCCCCTGCCCCCCATGCCTGTGGAAGGAATGATTCAGAGAGTTTGGAGATTTTAGGGACGGCATGTAGAGAAGCAAAGGCTTTCGAGGGGAACGTGGTGTTGACTATTACAGCGAAGAGAAAGAGGCTGAGCAGATGCAATGGCTTAGCAGTTGTTCACAGTCACAGGTGAGATACTGCGCATGTGCAACATTGGTGAAAACTCAGGGAACTTTAATATCCCCATCTCAAAGACCTCTAGAATTTAACTTCCTCTCTACCCAGACATCTGTGAATAAGAAATTCCTCTTTTACTGCCATTGAGGGATAGTAAACCTGATTTTGTAAGAATCAAATCATTTGCCTATGATTAGAGATAGGAACACTATATTTAAAATAATCATTTTTCTTACCTTTCCAGGGATTCTGGGAATTTGATGAACAATGTCATAAAAAATATGGGAAAATATGGGGGTAAGTACTATGGCAACTTTCACTGGGCAGATCTGAAATACTTACAGAAGCTCACAGAGGTGGAAGCTATGTGTTAGAAACATTTTCTCTCCCAAAGGTCCCGTTTGTCTCCTGCTGTCATGATTCACAGACTGAATTTGGCTGAGAAAGTTGTATGTTTTGATTTCCTCCAGGACTTGAAGGTTCGGGAATGGTTCACCTGAGTTTCAGTCCAGGGTCTAGATATTTCACTTTTCCAATTTTCCCTTCTGTGGACCCCTCTAATCACATCCAATGAACCACTTGAGACATTTTAATATATGTGTATATATGTCTCATGTTTACTTATTTTGGCTTTAGAGACAAAATTTATTTAAAAATTGAACCTAATATATGCTTTAAAGAAAGACTGTGAGCTACCATAGTACATTGAAAACACATCTGTTTTAAGACTCCATCTTCTAAAAATGTATGTAGATTTTTTTGTTCATGTGAAAGTCTCATTAAGGGAAGCCTGATCGATAGAAATCCGTAGGACTACAGCTTCTGCTGACTCTTGTTGTCTTGTTTGTCTGGGAGTCAGAGTCTTGTGTAACCCAAGACAGTCTTGCTCGATATTAGCTGCCTAATTATGTCCTGGGAAAACAGATAACCTTTCTGAACAATTGGAGCTGCCCTCAAACTCCCGATCCTCCTGCCTCTACTCCGTGAATGTCAGAATTCTAATAGGCACACACACATACTACCATGTCCAGCTCATGATACCCAACTTCAAAATTTTATTTGTTTTCATTTTATGTGTATGAGTGTTTTGCCTGCATGCATGTCTGCGTACAATGTGTGTGCGTGCATACATTGCCTCAGAGGCCATCTGCCAGATCCACTGGGGCGGTAGTTGCAGGCGGTTGTGAGTCACCATGTGGGTGCTGGGAACCAAGCACATGGATGAGCAGCCATGCTCTTAATCATGGAGTCATCTTTCCAGCCTCATGAAACTGACTTTTTCTTTGAGGCAGAGTTTCTCTGTGTAGCCTTGGCTGTCCTGAATTCGACTTGTAAACCAGGCTGGCCTTGAACTTACAGAGACCTACCTGCCTCTGCCTTCCTGAGTGCTGGGATCAAAGCTGGGATCATGCCCAGCTATGACCCTGACTTTGAACAGTAAGTGTGGTGTATAATTACAGGACTACACTCCCTGTACACTGACGGAGTTTTTGATCTTGGAGGTTGGCTAACTGCTGCAATAATTATTATTATCTGTTATTAATAATAGTAATTATTAGCAGGAGACATTTAAGCTGTGCTATGTTATTACCATCTTCCTTCTTTCTTCTTTGCTTATCCTTCTGGAGAAAGTGATGCTCACCCTTCACCAACAAACTTATAATGAATTATAATAAACTCTTCCATTTCAGGAGCACAGGAGGTTGGGTGAGTGCACTTCCAGAGGCGTCAGCACTGTGCTGCATGCCACACACAAGCGTGGCATGTCCTCCCACACAGAGGGAGGCATGTCTCTTTATGGCTCTCTAACTTGTCCCACACATCTTTGGAAAACTTAAGGCTGGCCACAGCATTGGCTCAATAAACACGTCCCATAAAGAGCTCTGATCCTGCTCAGAGCACACAGCACTGGATCCCCTTTGGCTCATCCCCAGCTGCTCTTTTCACTATTTTGCACTTAAATTACCCACCTTCAATTTTCCATTGATTTAATATCCTTTATGGTAATGTAACTTTTTGATCATGCAAAATTATGAGAAATAGTATGTAGGCAATATTCATGCATGAGCCACCCAGGCTTAGAAAATGTCCCAATTTAGTTCTAAGTATCATTTCTTTGGAGAGCTATTTTGTGTTTGTCTCTTGCCTGCATGAGCTATACCACCCTTCACTTCATGAGAGGCCACGGACCGGTGGTCAGAGTCCCTGACTTGACCTCGGTGCTCATGTTGCTGGGTGCTGTGTGCCTGTGGATTATACCACATCTGGATCAGAATCTGGGTTCCCAGGCCTGCTTCCAGCTACATGAGCTGTCCAGTTGGGTTTAATCCTCTCTGCTTTGCCAATGCAGGTTGTATGACGGTCGACAGCCTGTGTTGGCTACCACAGATCCAGACATGATCAAAACCGTGCTGGTGAAGGAATGCTATTCTGTCTTCACAAACCGGCGGGTAGGCCTCCATCTACAGTATCCTAATCTGTATTTATTCTCATATTAGGGTCTTTTTGAAGTGTGCGTATTTATATGCATGTGGTATATGTACACACCTACACACGTACAGAAGCTGCAGGAGGAAGTTGGATGTCCTGCTCTATGATTCTCCTTATTCCCCTGAGGCAGGGTCTCTGGCTGATCCTGGAGCTGTCAGTCAGCAAGCACTGGCAATTCTCCTGTTTCTGCCTGTCTGAGCTGGGGTTACAGGTGCACAAAACCACCAGTAATAATGCCCCTATTTTGTAGTGTGCGCACACAGGTGTGTAACTCCATGCGTTTTTTTTTTGGTGCACCTATGTATAACGGCAGAATTGCTTCTTCGAAAGTCTATTAGAGTTGCCACACATAGCTTGTCAACTCCTTAAAGATGATGAAAACTGTCATCTTTAAGTTCTATATATTGGCATATGTTTATGATACAAAGCAGTGGGTTTTCTTGCGATATTTTCACTTTTAAAGTCATTTTGTATTTGTGTGTGTGTGTGTCCGTGCAGTTGTGTGTAGGCGCCCACAGAGGGCAGAGGAGGGTGAAGGCTCTCTTAGAGCTGTAGTTATGGGTATGTACGAGCCACCTGATATGTTCTGGGAACCAACTTCAGTCCTCTGAAAGAGCAGGAAGTCTTAACTGCTGATCCTTCTCTCCAGTTCCTATAATGTTTTGTTATATGTGTGTAGTTTAAAATCTGTTATCAGTACTGATAGGTGATACTTGTGTTTCTGAATCTGTGTTCACTTAAAGTGAAGATTTCCAGTTCAATTATTTTTTTCCTGCAAATGATATAATTTTGTTCTTCTTTATGGCCAAATCAAACTCCATTGTGTATGTGTATGTCTACGAAACAATATTTTTAGTATTGTCAGCCTTGTAAGAGTGTGTAAGCTGTGTATGTTGTCCGTATGTGTGTGTTCATGTGTGCCTTTGTGAACCTGCAGAGGCCTGGGGAGGATTTAGGTGTCCTACTCTATTACTCTTCTGTTTTGACTAGTCTGGCTGGCCAGTGAGCTATCAGCTTCTACCTGTCTTTGTCTCCCCAACACTGGGTGATAGGCACCTGTGCCTATGGCCAACATATTTTAAAATGTGGCTGCTTCAGATTCAAACCCAGGTCCTCATGCTTGAGCAACAAGTCCTTACCCTCTGAGCCATCTCTCCAGAAGAGCGTTTTGATCTATGAATATTTCACATTTCTTCACTTTTTTCAAATTTTCATTGATTTCTTTTATGAGCATTTTCACTATTTTGTTGGATTTTGTTAGATTTCTACCTAAAGTATTTCATTTTCTTTGGAATGAGTGTAAAAGTCATTGTGTGTTTAATGCAGTTTTGCATATTCCTCACGTGCTTTACCAATGTGCCTGAGTTTTGGTGAACTGACTCATTTTTAAGTTCCAGATGCTTGCTTCTTCATATACGTCATCAATTCTCTATCTTTCCATTATTTTAATGAAAAAACAGGGGAGTTTTTTTTCTTTGTGATCTAAATACTTTTTATTTTTTCTTAAAGTTCTGTGCTAGCTGGGAGCTCCGTACTGTGTTGAACAGAATGTTGAGAAAGTACATTTAATTTTAAAGGATATAAATTTTCCACAGTTGGCCCCAATTTTAGCTGCTCCTCATAAGTTTTTGTGACTTTCTGTGCAGTACATCACTTAAAATTTTTCATTGCATCTATTGATTGTATATATTAGTGGAGTTAAGCTTGATATTGAAATGCTGCATATTGATACATTGCTCAACTCCAGCTTACCTTTATCAGACCTCCATAACTGATACCCCTCTTTCTCTGCCTCCAGCCTCCTAAGAAGTGAGGCATTTGAAACATCTGTTTCCTGTATCATTTAATGACATTATAGTTCTAAATAATTTGTAAGTAAGTGATGCCTGTTAACATTTTTTTTTTCTCACAACTTTGCAGTCCTTCAAACCTATATATGGCCACATCTCTTTTGTTTTGGATTCTAGAGTTTTGGTCCATCGGGAATTTTAAAAAAAGCCATCTCCCTCTCTGAGAATGAAGAATGGAAGAGAATCCGAGCTTTGCTGTCTCCAACCTTCACCAGTGGGAAGCTCAAGGAGGTAATGAAGAAATAGTGGGACCTCTTGCTTCGTCCTTGGAAAAGCATTGTCCACCGGGAATTGAGTGCCTCACTAACTACACATGGTATTTTATTTTATTTTATTTTTTTTGTGTGTGTATCTAGATGTTTCCCATCATTAACCAGTATACAGACGTGTTGGTGAAAAACATGCAGCAGGGGGCAGAGAAAGGCAAGCTCACCAGTATGAAGGAGTAAGTACTAACGGCTGTTGGCTGCTGGGCTGTTTTAGTTTCTTTTCTGTTGCTGTGACAAAACACACTGACAAAAGTGACTGAAGGAAGAAAAGTTTCATTTTGGCTTACAGTTCCAGGGGGATACAGTTGCAGAAAGACTTGGCAGCAGAAAAATCAGGAGACTGACTAATAACACTGCATCTACAATCAGGAAAGAGGAAGCATGGCCAGACTCTATAGACTCAGGGCCTGCCCAAAGTGACCACCACCTTTTTCTTCCTCTTCTTCTTCCTCCTCCTTCCTGTCCTCCTTCTCTCCTTCTTTCTTGTCCTCCTCCTCTTCTTTCTCCTCCTCTTCTTCTCCTTATTCTTGTTTTTTAAGACAGGGTTTCTCTGTGTAGCCTCAGCTGTCCTGGACTCACTTTGTAGACCAGGCTGGCCTGGAACTCACAGAGATCTGTCTGCCTCTGCCTCCCAGAGTGCTGGGATTACAGGTGTGTGCCACCACCCCCAGTTGACCTACTTCTTCTAATGAGGCGATACCTCCAAAAATTTCCACGTTTTCCCAGACAGTGCTACTAGCTGGAGACCCAGTGATCACACACATGATCCTGTGGGAAATATGCATGTTCTGATCGTAACAATAGTGCTTGGGACCCCTTAACTGCCTGCCAGGGAGTTGAAGTTCCCATTGTTTAGCTACTTCAGGACCAGTCAAAAGCAAGTTGTATAATGTTACAAGTTATTACAATAGCTCAGATTACCACTGGAGTTGAGCCAAGAAGAAACGGAGACATCTCTGTAGCAACGTTAGGATCGTAATGGGCCACCCTGGAAAGGAGTATCTCCTGCAAGCAGGTAGGGTGCTGATGGAGAATGAGTCTCACCTCTGTATACAGGATTCAGTACTAACTTGTCAACTCAATTGTCATTTTTGAAACTCTAGAAAAAGATAGTTTAGAAAGAAGAAACATACTGGAGAGATGGCTCAGAAGTTAAGAACACTAGCTATTCTTCCAGAGGTCCTGAGTTCAATTCTCAGCAATGACATGGTGGCTCACAACCATCTAGAATGATATCTGTATGCATTGTAAATAAATAAATCTTAAAAAAAAGAAAGAAAAGCTTTAAAAATACTAAGAAAGAAGAAACATGACTAAACAAATTTATTAGTGTTGACTCAATAGAAAAGAGCAGAGGAAGTACTCGGCACACATTAGGATTCTGGGTGTATACTCGGAAAGTTAAAATGTCATGGACTTTTTCAGGCTATCAGTGAAATAAGAAATCTCCTTGGGCTGGCAAAATAGTTCAGTGGGTAAAGGCACTTGCCACCAAGGTGACCTGAGTTAGATCCCTGGGAGCCACAGGGTAGAGGGAATTGACACCCAGGGTGAAGAACAAAGTAAGATGAATGTATGATTAATATTTAGCTTATCTTTTCCACACTTAACCAGGTCAGAACCACCCATAGTGGGTCGTGTCTTTCCCATTAATTAACACAATCAAAGCAATCCCCCACAGGCCTGTCCAGCTTGACATAAGCAATCTCTTTGAGACTTTCTTCTAAGGTGATTCTAGACCACGTCAATTTGATAATTAGAGCTAACATTCACAGCATGCATATCGTCCTACAGCAGAAAGACAGGCACAGCGCTGTCCCCTGACAAACTTCTCAGAAGCGAGTGTGATAGAAGCAAGAGATCCTAGAAAGGCTTTCTGTGTGGTACTCTGACTGTCTTGGCTGGGCATGTGAATTTACTCCCGAGTCATACCTCATGGATCTTAGGTGGACTAAGAAGATGTTTAATTGTTAATTTCCATCTCTCTCCTCAGCATCTTTGGGGCCTACAGCATGGATGTGATTACTGCAACATCATTTGGAGTGAGCATTGATTCCCTCAACAACCCACAGGATCCTTTTGTGGAAAAAATCAAGAAGCTCTTAAAATTTAGTATCTTTGATCCATTGTTCCTGTCAGTGAGTACGTGAGCTAATGTTTCACTCTTTCTGTCTCTTTAAGTGACAGGGTAGTGAAAGATAATCCACATAGGCTGTAAATAACCCACTTCAACAGACCAGTAGGTGGTTTTCATTATAGTTAAAATGTTTTCGGCCATCACTGTTGTCAGCTGTGGAACATTTCTGTCACCTCAGAAACTGCACTTTAAAGGATCGATGTCTTACCTCCCGCAGGCATAGGCAACATGTACTCTCTAACTATATAGATTTGCCCATTCTGGTTGCTTCACATGAATGAAACTGGATACTCTGTCACTTTCTGTGTCTGGCTTCTAAATCAGTATGTTTTAAAAGTTCATGCATCTTGAGATGTCTATTAGGACTTAATTCTTCATATTCTATTGTACGGGTATGCCACAGTCTATTTATTTATGACTGATGGATACTTCTAATGTTCTGGCTTTTTGGCTGTTGTGAACAGTGCTGCTATGAGTATTCTTACACAAGTTTGTGTTCAAACACACACTTTCAGTTGTTCTGGATATATATGGGGGGGCGTGTTGAGTTGTATAGTAAGGTGCTGAACAAATTAAGGAAGAGTCTTTAACCATAGACTTTGCATCTGTTTTACTCATTTTTATTATGCTACAGAGCAGAGCATCTTTGAGGGGAGCCCTATCTATTTAGGATAATATAATTCTTTTATAGTCTCTTGATTCAGTCTACTAACATTGTATTGAAAACTTTGCAACCATATTTACAAGTGATGGTTTTTTGCAGTTTTCTTTGCATGTGAGATATTTTTGTCTGGTCTTAATATTAGTGTCTTTTGGAGAATTTTGGAGATGTTTTCATGTCTTTCCATATTTGGAAGTGCTTGAGAAGGAATGCTTTTTTTTCTTTAATTTTATTTTTTTCTTATCAGTTACATTTTATTAACTCTGTATCCCAGCCGTGTCCCGCTCCCTCATTCCCTCCCAGTCCCTCCCTCCCTCCCTCATCTCCACCGTGCCCCTTTCCAAGTTCACTGATAGGGGGGACCTCCTCCCCATTCATCTGATCCTGTTTTATCAGGTATCTTCAGGACTGGCTGCAAAGCTCTCCTCTGTGGCCTCACAGGACTGCTCCTCCCTTGGGGGGTGGGGAGGCCAAAGAGCCAGTCATTGAGTTCCTGTTAGAAATAGTGAAGGAATGCTTTTTTTAAAAAAAAAAATTAGAAAATTTCAGCATGGAAACCTTCTGGTTTTAGGGTTTCCTTGTGGATATTATTATTTTTTCAAACCTGGAGGGGGTAAAGATGAAATATGGTCCTGGAAAGCAGAATGACAATCTGCTTTTATCATGGTTCTTCTCCATTTTCTGTGGACTGTGAGGGTTGCTCTGGGCCTCTGTGTATTTGCTTTGCAGCATGTCACCTCTCACCTTGTCACAGGTCTGTTATGCATGGCATGCTTTTCTATTTGAGCTAGTTTCCATACTTTTTGCCTTTGTAGGAATCTGTGCATTCTAGCTAAGTTATATAATTGAGGCTATTGTTCTAGTCTTCTAATGATTAATAGGATTCCTTCATATGTCCTTGTGTTTTTCATAATATGATTCCCTCTCCACTCCACTATGCATGCTAGCAGTCTGAGTCATCACCATTTCTAGAACAATCCCAGCTAACATTTTGCTAATTCTAAGATATTTTCAAAGAAGCATCTTTTGTTTTCATTTATTTGCCCCATGTTTTTTACTTCATTAGTTTACTCCTTGGTCAGTAGTATCGACTCTCTCTATGCCTGAAGTGTGTTTTCACTTTTCTTTTAGTGGTACATGCTATAAAGTGCTTTCATGCGAGATTAGTTTTTCTGTAACACCCATAAACTCTCTTTTGGGTGTTGCTTTATCTCCGTCTACAAGTCTTTATTTTTTTGTGTTTTTGGTTAATGCTATCATCATCGTCACCACTTTTATTATTTTCTGTGTGTACATATGTTCATGAATGGGTGAGAAGGTGCACATGAGTCTGCAGAGGTAAACCTCAGAGGAAAACTTCAGGCATCTGCCACCTTTCATTTGAGACAGGCTCTTTCACTGGCCTAGAACTTCCCCAAGTGGGCTGGGCTGGCCGTCCAGCTTCCAGGAGTTCATTGTCTCCACCTCTCATGTGGCCATGGCTGAGACACTGCACGTGGCTTCAACATGGGTTCTGGGAACTGAACACAGATCCTCACATTTACAGGGCAAGCACTCTACCCGCTGAGCCATCTCTCCAGACCTGAAAGACCTTTCTTGAACATCATGATGAGCTGCAATTAGCGACTAAAGCCAGATTTATCCAAACAGACCTTAGCCTGACATGTAAATGGTGAGAGGTCGAGGAATTTAACCGGAAACTATGCAGCAACAGCCAGTGATATATGTTCCGTGTTGGTGGCCATATGTTGACGTACCTCTTTCCAGCTAGTGGTCTGCAACCTGAGCAAGAGGGAAGGACTCTTGGTTGAGATCCTGATGAATTTTACTGTTCTGAATGGCAGCGTAAATGTAATTATTCCAGGTAAACTTTGACTTTTCATCATGGTTTCTCTTTTCTTTCCCCTCTAGCACTTTTTCCATTCCTTACCCCAGTACTTGAAGCATTAAATATCACCATGTTTCCAAAAGATGTCTTAAGCTTTTTTAAAACTTCTATAGAACGAATGAAAGAGCATCGGATGCAAGAGAAAGAAAAGGTAATAACTGGTCACACAGGACTTTCATTTATAATATTTTGTTTCCCACTTTATAAAATATATATATATATATATATATATATATATATATATATATATATATA